TATGTTCTGATAGTGGCCCGAATGTTGGGGTGGGTGTAGTATGTCTTCTTGGATGGGGATTGGGTTGGTGGCCTTTGGTGATGGCTGGGGGCCGTAATGGGCTAGCTGGTTTGCCCCTTTGCTGTGGCGGGGGCCCGCCCTGGGTGTCCCCTTGCTCTGTCCGAGGTTGGGTGGGCGCTCTTGGCTGGGTCGTCCTTGCTGGGGAACGGTGGCCTCTCTGGGTGGCGGGCTGGCTTTGGGGCTGGGGTTGGGTTTTGGGGTCTGGGTGGATCTGGGGGTGGGGTGAGGTGTTGGTCCCGGTTTCTGGTGGCCTTCGGGGCTCCGTCAGTCCATGGTCTGGGGTTCCGTGGGCTTGGCGGTTTGCCTGGAGGGAGAGGTATTTGGGCTGCTCTTCCTGGGTGGGTTTCGGGGAACTGGAGGGCTTACTGGGGCAAGCGGGGGAGCTGACTCCCTGTGGGAGCATTTTGCTCCTTTAGCTTATTCTCCCCATCCCTCACCGCACACCTCCATCCTCTTCACTTTCAACTTCACCCATGTAGGGTTTATTTTGGGCACAGTTGTGTTATAAAAGCAACAATATTACATTTTTATTTGCCATAACCACCTGGGCCCCAAATTTTATTGTACATCGTAGACATTCAATCATAACATTTTCATGATATTCACATATAGGAACTTATGGTGGGCACTCATGGCTATAGGTGGCCGGATGGCACCACTCTCACCTCCTGTGCCTGTGCCCACCCCCCAAGGTTTGCATGTAGACACTTAGGGTTTTGGGTTAGAGTAGTGGTGGAGGGGAAACTGGCACCACACATGCCTCTGCCTTTTCTTCTTTCCCTTTTTAATTACTCTATTGAACAACACGCACCAACAGTACATCTGGGGGAGGGGTGTGTGCGTGTCAGGGTCTTTACTCCCATCCCGTTCCCCGACTGCCATTGGGGTGGGGGTCCTGAAGAAGGGCGGGCCACCGGGTGCGGTCCTGGGCTGTGGGTGGGCTCGGGGCTTGGACGGTTGCCGGGGGTGGGGCTGGCTCTCCATCCTCCCTGGTGCTGCTTGGTCTCCTGAGGTGTGGCTCTTGGTTCCTGTGGGTGGCCCCCTGGCTGGGGTGGCTGCCAGGTTCCAGAGGGTGGACGGCTGGGGGAGTGCACTTGGTCATTGGCGGTGTGGTGTGGTGGTCATGGGTGTGGCTTCTCTGCAGCGGGGGGCTGGCCGGGCGTCCTGGTGCGGCCCGGGCC